GAGCGTTTTTAGGATGTTTCTTTAAATGAACGCGATGCACCGGGAGAGATGCAACAAGAAACAGCGCGCGAAGCTTCACCGGCTAAAAGAAGTAAGCCAATGACCTTCCAACTCTTGCTTTTACGCATTGCGTGTACCATCTGGCTATATGTTTTGTACATCCGTTATCTGTCATCCTTGCCACATGACCGACCCAAATCACCGTTGGCGCTGAAGATATACCGGTGATAGCACTGAGCCGTATTGTCGGAAAAAAAGCACAAAGTTGGCCATCAAGCATTAGTTGGATTTTGAGGGACGGAATAATAAACTGCGACCATTGGAAACCCGAATCGTAATCTTAAAACAAGTGGACGGTCCAAAGAAAAGAAAATGTAGAGCGGCCGGAGTCAGAAAGTCTCTGGACGAAGGGTGGGATAAGTTTGCTAAAATAATTTGCTACCGTTGGTAGGCGAAGCTGTAGTCTTTAAAACAAGTGGACGGTCCGAAGCAAAAAAAGTGGGACGGCCACAGTCCGAAAATTTTAACTTAGGGTGGGGTTGGTTATAACTTACGACTGTGGCTATCCCGCTTCTTTTGCGTCGAATCGTCCACTTGAATTTTCTCAGTAATTCGCCTCGGCTACAACAGCACTGCGGATTTTGGCAGAGATAGTTAATCCAGGATGGCGGGAAGATTAGAATACACACACACAGAGGGAGAAAGAAGCTCGAATTTCCGATGTAGTGGTAGTGTAGACGAGAATTTCGCGATAGCGGACGAGATATTGCGTAAAAATCGTTAGAATGGAACATTTTTGCAAAAAAGCGCGGATCGGGGAAATTTAAGAGAAGTTTTTCATCCCTCCTCGGTCTTAAATTTTTCTTATGATCCTCACTTCTGAGGGAGTAAAACTCCTTAAAAATACTTATGAGATGCGTAAGATGTGTTGTTTTTCCCTCCATGGCACGTTACATCTGCCGGATCCTCATTTTTGAGGGCATAATAGGTCCTTCAACATGCGAAACAGCGTTTGCGTTGTTACCAATAACAAGTTTTCAGAAATTTTTTAGAAACAGAAAAAAAAACCAAAGAAAACAGAAAAAGAAAAAAAACCAAAAATTTTCAAAAAATAAAAAAAAAATAAGTTTTCAGAAATTTTAAAGATGCAAACAATGAGCGTGCCTGGCTAGGAGAATGCAAGAGAACGAAGGTCTGAGAACGGACGGGGGCCTCATTTTTGCTTGTCTTTATCATCCTCTTCCCATTGTTTTGGGGATCCACGTTATCCTGTACACGTTGAGCTTGCTTCGAACGTATTTTAGCGTCGTCGGAAATCGATCTATGGGACACGGTGAAGATCGACGATTTTCTGATCGTGGAAAAAATTCTTGATAGACGCATCATAAATGGCAGACTGCAATATAAGGTGCGCTGGTTCGGCTTTTCAGAGGACGATGACACATGGGAGGACTTTTATAAATTGGTCCGTTTATTTATTTTTAAAGTATTGTACAATTATGTTTATTCTATGTTTTTTAGCGAATTGCCTGAGATGCGCGTATGTATCGCTGTTGGCTTTCAAAAAATGTCAAACAGTCGCCATATTTTTTTTCTAAAAACCAAAGTCATTTTGGCTTTTTTGTTCGGTCCTTCGCCATATTTCACATATCCGGGGCGTTCTGATGGTTACGGGTATTACATGATGTTTTGTCGATTTCGTGGAAAATAATGGTACATGATTTTACCCCTAGGTAGAAACTTACGATTGTAGGTGCATGCAAGAACTCCAGCCTATTCCTTGGCGATATTCGCGCCCAGCGCTAAAATTTCTCAGTACTTCTTACCTTCGTGTTGCCAGTCCGCCGCCGTAGATCG